AAAATGAGATGTTTATCCTGTATTTGATTGTGTTTATCTGCAGTTAGTTACATGAATTCAGATATGGGATGAAATCGGATAGAGATGAAATCGTTTAGGGATGAACAAGTTTAAGGGTTTTTAAAAGTTTTAGCCAAATGTTTTATAAGATAGTATAGATATTAAAATATTCAACTTTTTCTTTCTCATAAACATTTTTTTATTAACCTGGATATCCAACCCGCTCTACGAGCCGACTAATTTCAGAGCGACCACCTACTTTGTAGATAGCTCGGAGTCACTGCATTTGAATCTCTATGGCCATAAGGGGATTTTTATTTCTCCTTGGATTTGAACCTGAGACCCCAGGTACTTTTGACATTTTGAGCCAAACTCAAACTAATCAGACACCACCCTTATGGTTATAAACATTTATTTTCAATATATCTTGTTGGTAGAAAAAACGGTTAAAATATTAATTTTCTCTTCTATAAAGCGTTTTAGATATTTCTTTAAATTTATATATTTTTATATTCTCTCTCTATTTTCTTTATTTTTTAATATACGTTTTTCGCATCACGATTGGAGCAAAAGTATTATTAAGTATCCAAATTTTCTAGTTAAAACTTACTCAATAGCTATGCTATAATTTTTCTAATATAAAGTAATAAAAGTTAAAATTTCTACAAAAATCTAACTCTAATAACTACTATATTTTAGCAACTTTACCATTAACAATATCGTTAAAATATGAAATACATTTAATAAAATATATTTGTCTATCTTAAACACTTAATTTCACCGTCTCCTATTGGTGAGAAAGAATTAAATATTTTTTTTAGAATATGAAGTACATATATTTCTCCAAATTTGTAGATTTCTATCATTTCTCTTCTTTTCTCTATGTTAGCATAGTTGTTGGAGAAAAGATATAACTAAATCTTTAAAATCTCTATTTTAACATAGTTGTTAAAGATGCTTTTAGTTTTTGTATAGTGTCTCCAAATTTTCAGTTTTTTGCATAGTGCTAAACTACATAAATGTTAGATCTTAAAAGGCTAGCTATTAACATAAATGACTACATGGGCTAAAACTTTTAACTTTTTAATCACCTCTAAACTTTTTTTTATCACACAACAACCAAGAAACCATAAATTAAGTCAACGTCGTAAGATATTTTTTCTTGTGATGCCATAAGTTCATGTCTTTGTATTGTCGTAAGTTGCAGTATGTCCTTGCGATGTCGCAAGCTACGATTTTGTCTTGCTTCTTTTCGCATCGAGGCATGTCCTCACGGTGCCACAAGGAGTGGTGTCTCAATTTATTTTTGTGATGGATCCACTTTTCATCTCGATGGATTAGAAAATGTTAGAAACCACAAAGAAAGTATCTCACAATATTGATTTGGAAACCGCAAAGAAAGTGTCTCACAACATTGATATGGAAACCGCAAAGAAAGTGTCTCACACTATTGATTTGTTCTTTATCTCTTTTTGAAAAAAAAAAATTGAAGCAACTTTTTTCTAATATAGTAATTAATAAGCTTGATATTGATGATATCATTGTCGTACATAAATACCTTCAAGTTGGCATATTTTTATTGGAGTGATGATGAAGTAGTGTTTCTACATGTTGAACTTGGTGATGGCATCAAATAAAGCAGCAATGTGAGTGGACATTAAAGAATGATACACTTTTGTGATGGCTTTGAAGGAATCCGTGTATGTGGACCTGATGAGGTAAATTAACAAATCAATATTACTTTCTTTAATGTAATAGAAACCTATCTATTTGATTTCTATCGTATACTGCTGATTGTTTTATAACCTTCCTACTTGTTGATGCAAGGCGGCCATAGTTTGTATAAATAGCTTCACTTTCATCTCTTTTCCATATCATAAGGTCTCACAAATCAGTTACAAGTTCTTGATATATATATATATACATATCATCATCAGCATAATCCGATATGCTTTCTAGGTCATGGAGTATAACCGCAGTTGCGCTTGTTACCATCGTTTTCTTACTTGATTTTGGTGTTGCAGAATTACGTAAGCACATTCTATCTTGTTACCATTGTTTTCTTACATGTTTTTAATTAGAGTGAAGTGATCATAACGCGTTACATGTCCTTTTTAGAATGAATTTTTGTCATGAATAACACAATAATGATAAATATGGAAGCGTTATCCATAATGGATTGTATATTTATGATGGATATGTTACAACATTCATGATAAATAAACCATCTTAATCATCTATATGTTAGTTACTTGTTGATTTGTTTTATTTACTTGTTTGTGATAAAGAAAATAGAAACTTACAAAGGTTATTTTATTTTTTCTGTTTCTGCAGCTCCAAACTATACCTTCATGCATGAAGCAACAGAAGCTCCTAGGGTTTCATTCTACGACTACATCGTTATCGGAGGAGGTACAACCGGAATCCCATTGGCCGCCACCCTATCGGCTAACGCCTCCGTTCTATTACTTGAACGTGGTGGCTCACCTTATGGAAATCCCAGTATCACCAATGTAGCCAACTTTGGTACCTATTTCTTTGATACATCATCGAGCTCTCCCTCTCAACAGTTTATTACGGAGGGTGTTGTGAATGCACGCTCTCGTATCTTGGGTGGTGGTACTTCGATAAATGCGGGATTCTACTCTCGTGGTGAAGAACAATTTAATATCGAGGCTAGATTAACCGATGAAACTTTGATCGAAGATTCTTACCAATGGATAGAAAAAGTAATGGTTTTTGAGCCATTTCTAGGCGGGTGGCAGACTGCACTCCGAGCAGCATTGGTGGAAGTCGGGGTCACACCGGACAACGGTTATAGCTATGATCATGTTATTGGTACTAAAACTGGTGGTAGTATCTTTGATGCAAATGGAACGAGGCATACGGCTGCAGATTTGTTGCAGTATGCAAACCCAGAGGGGGTGTCTGTTCTTCTACACGCAGTTGTTCACAAAATCTTATTTAAGACCAAAGGTACATAGTAGGAGGTTTAAGGGAAAACTCCCAATGAAATAAAAATTGATTAATACTTTAATAATCATTTATCTGTATGGTATCCACATCTGCATACAAATAATTTGTCCGCTATGCATGTACACATGTATAAAAAAACAGGAAACAGCTTCAATAACTTGTATATGCTATTACGAATGGTTACAAGGGTGTTTTTCAAGCATTTCATTTTTTACAGCAACTAAACGTTTTGTGAAATAAGTTGAATGTTTTAACTAAATCATACTTTTTATTATTTTACAGCGGGAGGAACAACGCCATTGGCTTATGGAGTTGCGTTTGAAGATTCGTTTGGGAATATGCACAAGGCATTCCTAAAAGGTGGAGAGAACGATGAAATCATAGTGTCTGCTGGAGCTCTCGGTAGCCCACAAATTTTGATATTGAGTGGTATAGGTCCAAAAGAGCAACTCGATGGCCAAAATATCAAGAGTGTGCTTCAGCAACCTTTAGTTGGCAAAAATATGTCAGATAACCCGCGAAACGGAATTTTCATCCCTTCTCCCATTGCCGTTGAGCAATCGATAGTCCAAGTTGTTGGTATTACCGAGTTCGGTAGCTACATTGAAGAATCTGGTGGCATTAATCTTGTCTTTGCAAATATTGAAGACTATCAGGGGTATGACTATCAGGTATGTATCTAAGTTATACACTTGTCAAATTCTTAATTTCAACTTATATCTCCGTAACAAAATCGGGTTTGTAGGACGCCTAAAGTATTTGTGTTCTAATACAGTGTTTTATAGGACTTAAGTTTATAGGACCAAAAAATAAATTGTCATATCTAAAAGTGTTATAATAAGTTTATAAGACGTTTTTTTGGTGTCGTAACATGTTTTTTTTTTTTGGGATCTTTCTAAAGTAAAGTTTCATATTACCTATTTTATAAGACACTATTTGATAAACGTCCTATAAACCCATATTTTTGTAGGACACTTATGTTTATAGGACAATTTTCCAAATATTATCTTTTTAAATAGCTAATACAACAGTTCATTTAATAACGTCTCAAAAACTTATTGTAACACTTTTAGGCAAGACAAGTTATTTTATGATTCTATAAGGGAGACAATTAAACACTTTAAACGTTCTATAAACTCTATTTTGTTGTAGTGTATAGCGATAACAATAATATGAGTCAATGAACTTGACGACTTATGTTGTTTGTAGTTGGGCGGATTCGTACTTGAGAAAATTAACGGCCCGATATCTACGGGTGAACTAAAGATTGAAAACCGTAATCCATTCGACAACCCATCTGTAACATTCAACTACTTCAAAGAACCCGAAGACTTGCAGAAATGTGTTAAAGGACTTGAAACCATTCTAGCAGTTATTGAAACAGAAGCATTCTCGAACTATACGTATGCCAATATGACTGCCCAAGAGATTCTTGATCTTAACATGAAACTACCATATAACCAGATTGTTCATGCTAATACAAGTTCCTCTTTGGAAGAATATTGCAAGGCGACTGTAGGGACTATGTGGCACTATCATGGTGGGTGTCAAATCGGGCAAGTCGTTGATGATGAATATAAGGTTATTGGTGTCGATGGTCTTCGAGTCCTGGATGCATCGACTTTACTCAACTGTCCAGGAACTAATCCACAAGCAAGCCTCATGATGCTCGGAAGGTACATGGGAGTTAAGATGCTTGCACAAAGGCTCGCGGTCACGAAGTCGTATGCGGATATTTGATCGATGCCATCGTATTTGTTTAATTTTCCCTAAGAATATATATATATATATATATATATATATATATATCAACTGCAAGTTGTAATGACATATGTTGATATTTTTGCAAGGTTGTGAAATGTTATTGTATTTGGATATCATGTACGAGTATTTTGTCAAAATTTTAGAGGAATAAAAATGTTATGAGGTTCTGTTTTTACTTGGATTCTCTTCCGGTCTCATTTTGTAAACTATAAATTTGGTCTAAAAAATAACACTATTTTTGTTCTTCAGTTTTAAAGTTACAAGATGACTATTATGGTTTACAAAAAAATTCAGATTTGGTCCGTCCATCTAACGACCGCTAAAAATTTCGTTACATAAATGACATTTTCGTTCTTTTATCAATCTTTTTGTCTTTTACACAATCAAAAACCACAAGTACCAAAATCATAAAATCGATTTTGATTTACGTAAAAGACATAAAAATTAATAAAAAAACGAAAATGCCTCTTATTTAACAAAAAAATTTAACGGCTGCTAAAAAAATACCAAATCCGAAACTTTATACAAATTATGGTTACCATCTTATAATATTAAAATAGTTTTTTATTTCTTCATTTTTTCTTTTTCCTACATGTCCCAACCACTGTCAGTTTGCATACATGTGGGATTAAGCATTAGCAGTCCATCAAGTTTGTTATTTTCTGATTGGTGGTTACTTAATTAGCAAGTATCAGTATAAATATGTTTGCTTATGGTAATAATTATTCATTTATTCAGTCAAGAAATGGTGCAATAAAGATGGTCCACATTTCTTTGTTTAATTGTGAGTGTTTGGAGGCTATTATGTATATTATTTGTTATTCCATATGAAGCATATGGAATATAGTTATTTTTGATAAATTAGAATTAAAGAAGGACGTCATTTTTTATTTGATTATGGATAACTCTTTTAGGTGGATGTTGTATAGGTATAAGGTGAGTCCGAAAGATGTATTGCTGTAGAAAACTTATCATTTTCGTTCTTTTAAGCCTATGTAATTCCTTCTGTGGCCTCTGACTAGCTTTTTAATGAATTCCCGTTTCCCAAAAAAAGAGGAAGTTGTGCAATATTATATTTTTATCCCTATTCTTTGTAAATCAGAGGCTTATCATAGTAACTAACCATCTTCCTCCAAACTTGTTTTTTTACCTTATGTCGATTTCCTTCATCTAAAGTTTTATTTTTTTCATTGGGTTTAATTTGTTCCTTAATGCAAGGTTCTAGTTGTGATAACCGGGTATTCGGATATAAAAGTTCGGGGTGATTTTTGAAAGATGATGGTAAGTGGAGGGGTTTAATTTGTGTATGTGCTTAAATATTTAAAATAATTCTCACCGCCTAAATGTTTTATATATGAGATATTTGTTTTATCATATGGGAGGGCATGATTAATTATTTAAAAAACCTCCACTGTCTCCTATGGTTTAATGTAAAGTATTGAATAAGATAATTATCTTATCTCATTGATTTTGGTGGAGAAAAAGAAAAGTGAGCTTTTTTGTGTGTGTTCTCTTGTGTGTAAAGTAAACAATCCTGTAAGGGGAAGAAGAAGTTGATTCTGCGATTTCTACTTGAATTTGTTGATGTGATTAGTTCATCTCCATCTACATGAAGATAAGGTGAGTTTAAATTTATCAACTTTCCTTATTTGAAATTTGAACCATATGGTTCTTACATGGGGATGATGATGATGATAAAACTGTTTCTGGATGCTATTTTTAGCATGACGGTGAGACTGGGTATAGAACCGTATGATTCTTTATATGAGTTACTGTTATGAAACTGTTTTGAAGTCATTATTGGCAAAATGGTAGTATTTCGTATTTCGTAATATGGGTGGCATAATCAGGAGCTAGGTATTATTTTGTAATAAGGGTGGCATAATCAGGAACTGAGTATATTCTTGTAATAAGGGTGGTATAATCAAGAACTGTGTATATTGGGATAAGAATTTTTGGGAATGATGATCTTTTTGATCATGGAGTTTTGTTATCGCATCCTATTGATGCGATTAGTTGTGGTTTTGTTAAAGTGAACAGTTGTTGAGGAACCAGAGGGCCTCTGGTTGTATTTGAAATATAAATTTTTTTTAAAGTGTTTAACCATTTCTTGTCTCAAGAGGCTCCGGATAGACAAACCAGAGGCTCTAGTTGGCTAGAGGGGCTCTGGTTAGTAAGACCAGAAGTCCTCTAGTTGACCCTTGCTTCTGGTTGACCTTGTTGGCCTTACTTTTAGTTGGTCATGCTCTGGTTGTTCTGGTCCTTAAGGATTAGAGGAGCTCTGGTTGGTCTTGCTCTGTATGATGCGAGAAGTTTACCCATGAGGTATTTTTTTTCCTTTCAAGATATTGGGTATTTGAATAACTCTGAACTCAAAGTCTTCAGATTTGACACTTAGCGCTCATTGGGTCTTCTCTTGAAATAACTTTGAAGAATATCTCTTCAGACTTGCTCTTGTGTGCTTGAGCTCACCTGAACTCTGAAAAAGATCTCTTCAGACTTGCACTTATGCGCTTGTGCTCACCCAAACTCTGAAGTCTTCTTTTTCAGATCTCTGGAAATAAGTCTACATACTTCCATACTTGGCCTAAACTACTCTAATAAAACTTGCATGATATTTAGAATAATTTTGGTCCTAACAATTAGTATTACAAATTTGGATTTATAAACATGATTTGGTGATTTTCACCTTGTAAATGCATCAAAGGGATTTCTCACTAGACCTCAAGGTTAACCCTCATTTTGTGTTTAAAAAATGTGCATTACAGGCCGAGCCCAATAAGAGAACAAGGGGAAGGGGAAATTATAAAGTGTTATATTATGCTTACATGGAATTTTAGGGCTAGTATAATCTTCTCTTGTATCTGAATGCATGATATGTATTCATACGTTGTGTAGTGACTTCATGGAAAAAGTTGTTAGCTATTTTGTAATATAGCTTTTGTATATTTAGGACTGAATATGTAAATTTGTATTTCTTGATATATGAAGTACTTGGTTATATGCAAATGTGATTCTGGGGTGTTATAAATTTGGTATCAGTGTAACACCCCCAAACACCACATTTGCATAGAACACATATTTCATTACATAGAAACATGAATTACATCAAAAGGTCCCACTAGTACAAGGATTGCTATATATACAAAATCTACATATAAAATTTCCAAAACAAATCCTGTACTACTACATGTAATATAACATGTATCTTCAAAAGCAGACAATAGGTTAGGGAAATAATCACATTTTCCCTTTCCTTTTTATATCCCCTGACCCAGCTATTCCTGCATTGCATAATTTAAAACAGAAAATGAGGGTTAGACCATACGGGTCTAGTGAGAAAATCCCTTCCTTGCAAATGCAGGGTGATGAACACCAAAATATGATAATGTAATTTTTGCTTAGAAATATACTGCAACACAAATGAATGATGCAGTTCACAACACTCCACAATAAGATGTATATCCAAGAACCTTAATAAAATGTCTCTGAATAGAGATCCAGCATTCCCAGTATCAAAACGTTTGAATTAAAAGATCATTCCTTTAACAGGAAAGATTTAAGGCAAAACTTGCCTGATATGACAAACCATTTTCCCCTTTTCAATAACATCTAAATTATTACTTCTAAATAGGAATAATATCTCTAATTCATCAGGTCACAAAGAAATGATGACTCAAAGTTATTAAATCCAATTTAGTAATAATAATAAGAGTTATAATAATATCCACATATAACAATGCCACCCTTATTCCAAGTACACCTCTCCTTGATATGCCACCCTTATTTCTCCATTAAAACAGAGCTACTTATCAGAACAGACATAAGTCMCCACGTCTGAAAGTACTCATTCCCAGTTCCAAGCCAGAACAGACAAAAGTCACCACGTCTAGGGGAACTACCATTTAAAACTCACTTCCATACYAAAACAGACTTACGTCACCACGCTTGGTAGGAAGGTTTCTCGAAATATAGTTTCATACCAAAACAGACTTACGTCACCACGCTTGGTAGAAACATTCCCCAAAATCCCGTTCTAATACCAAAACAGACTTACGTCACCACACTTGGTAGGAACATATCATTTATTTTAAAAAATATAAAATAATCATTTTATGAATCATAAATAAACATTTAAAACTTATAAAATTCCAACATAAAACTATCCTGACAAGTTGTCCGGATATGAAGTCCGGACAACACTGTT